GGGTGAGGATGTTGCAGTCCTGGAGGTGGGAAGTACAGTGCCTGCACTCAGTAGGAGAGGTGAGGATGTTGCAGTCCTGGAGGTGGGAAGTACAGTGCCTGCGCTCAGTAGGAGAGTGAGGATGTTGCAGTCCGGGAGGTGGGAAGTACAGTGCCTGCGCTCAGTAGGAGAGGTGAGGATGTTGCAGTCCTGGAGGTGGGAAGTACAGTGCCTGCACTCAGTAGGAGAGGTGAGGATGTTGCAGTCCTGGAGGTGGAAGTACAGTGCCTGCGCTCAGTAGGAGAGGTGAGGATGTTGCAGTCCTGGAGGTGGGAAGTACAGTGCCTGCACTCAGTAGGAGAGGTGAGGATGTTGCAGTCCTGGAGGTGGGAAGTACAGTGCCTGCGCTCAGTAGAGAGGTGAGGATGTTGCAGTCCTGGAGGTGGAAGTACAGTGCCTGCACTCAGTAGGAGAGGTGAGGATGTTGCAGTCCTGGAGGTGGGAAGTACAGTGCCTGCACTCAGTAAGAGAGGTGAGGATTTTTGCAGTCCTGGAGGTGGGAAGTACAGTGCCTGCACTCAGTAGGAGAGGTGAGGATGTTGCAGTCCTGGAGGTGGGAAGTACAGTGCCTGCACTCAGTAGGAGAGGTGAGGATGTTGCACTTCAGATCATTTGAACTGTGATTTCAGCATACTTCTGGCAAGGCAGTGAGTGCGTGATGGTGAACGTGTTTTTTTTTTTTTTTTTTTTTTTTTTGGGGGGGGGGGGTCATTTTAACTCGGTGGAAGACGGCCACTGTGTTAAAAATCGGAAATTGATTAATGATTTTGTTATAGGACTGTGATTCATGGATCACAAGCACGCTACTGAGCTGACTACCACCACCACTACTGAGCCGACTACCACCACTACCACTACTGAGACGACTACCACCACTACCACTACTGAGACGACTACCACCACTACCACTACTGAGCCGACTACCACCACTACCACTACTGAACCGACTACCACCACCACCACCACCACTACTGAGCCGACTACCACCACTACTGAGCCGACTACCACCACAACTGAGCCGACTACCACCACTACTACTGAGCCGACTACCACCACTACTACTACCACTACCACTACCACCACTACCACTACTAAGCCGACTACAACTACTCCTGCTGATTCCACCACAACTCTCCGCCCTTACATCAAACCCAACTGCAGTGTTCTCAGTGACGGAAGCAAGTTCCCTCACCCTGACTGTAACAAGGTTAGTCTAATCTTAATGTGTGTGTGTGTGTGTGTGTGTGTGTAGGTGATTGTCCATTTATCGCTACAGGAGCAGAGCTATGTTGTTATAATAATTGCCAGGAGACAGGACAAGTGTCTCCTGGCATGGTTTCTTAATCATACGGATGACCCTTATGTACATGAGTACAATAGAGCTATACTCGTGGTGTCGTATCCAATTATTTTTTTTAATATATATATATAATATATATATATATATATAATAATATATATATAATGTATGTATGTCGTGCCGAATATGTAAAACTGGTCAATTAGCAAGAACTCATTTAAAATTAAGTCCTTTCTAAAATTTTCTCTTATACGTTTAAAGATATATTTTTTTCATTAATGTTAATGTAAAAAAAAATTAATTTTGCACCAAAAGAATCTTAGAAAACTTACCTAACCTTATTATAACAAGAGCAATTTATTTTAGCCTAACCCAACTTAATATATTTTAGATTTGTTTACAGTAATTTAATACTAAACAAACACAGTGAAAATATATTTTTTTCGTTAGGTTCAGAATGATTTTGGCGAAATTATTGCATACACAAATTTTCGCTTGTCCTATATGGCAAGATGAGCGTTGCTATTTAAGCCAAGATCGCAAGTTCTGCCTATTCGGCACGACATATATATATAAAAATATATATATATATATATATATATATATATATATATAATATATATATATATATATATATATATAATATATATATATATATATATATATAATATATATATATATATATTATACACACACACGTTTTCCTCTTGTTGTTCTTATTGCGGGTACTGAGAAATCATGTCCTTTTACGACCTTATAAGTAGTTACCATACCTGAAGGATATCCGAAGGATGCTTCCGGAGATCAACGCCCACTGCGGCTTGGTCCCTAACCAGACTTACTGTGTCTCCTAGGTCTTCTCTTTTTCATATCAGCCAGCGTGGGTATCCATGGTGTTCTCAAACTCTCACCATAACTCCTCTCTCGCTCTCAAAATTTCGAAACCCTTGATGCTTTTGCAGTTCTGGGAGTGCCGGGACGGGCAGGCCATAGTGATGCTGTGTGCTGGTGGCACAGTCTGGGATGACGTGCTTCAGATCTGCAACTGGGAAGAGAATGTTGACATCTCCAACTGCAACATGTGGACTTGTCAGGTGGATAACGAGTACTATGCTGCCGAAGACTGTGACAAGGTGAGATTATATTTGATACTAGCGTGTAACAAGAGAGAGAGGTTAGGTAAGTTTGTCAGAAAACTGGACAAATGTTTCCTGACGTTGGTCTTCAGCTGCTTTCAGCTGGCTTACCGGTCCACCCCTTTAAAATTTATGGATTATATCCATTAGATATATACTCAAGAGAGAGTATATGTCACTTATTTGTAGTTGCATAGGCACCGACCCACCTACTGACTTGCTCCTTACGTGAGGAAGACACTGTGTTTGTATACAAACATATATTATGACGCTTTATCCAGGACTAGACACAAAGTACACAAAACACAAATAACTCACAGTCTGGAGAGACAAATGTTGACATTTCGGTCACGTCCTGAACCATTTAGAGGTCTCGTAGCTCGATTGATAGCGCACTCACACCGAGGTCCCTGGATCGATCCCCGGTATGGCTGAGAACATTAGAACGTGTTTCCTTAAGGCGCCTGCTGTCTATGGTCACCTGTCAGTAAAATAGGTACTTGGGTGTTAATCGACTAGTGTGGGTCGCATCTTGGGGGCAAAATTGACCTAATTTGCAGAAAATGCTGTGCATCACAAGGGGCGTTCTATATAGTATTATATCATTGAAATCAGCTGTTTATATACCTTGTACTACATGCACTTGTAGAAATAAAGATTATTATTATTATTATTATTATTATTATTATTAAGACGTTTCGGTCCATCTTGCACCATTATCAAGCCGAGAGCTGATAATGATTTAATACGGACCGAAACGTGTTTCAAAGTTTGATCACCAATTTTGGGTCTAAGTGCCAGTTGTTTCAGCCCCAGCATTTTATTTTTTCTCTTTTATACGCTATTTTCAAGTTCCTGGTCAGTTTGCTCTATAAGTAAATCGAAAACATCATTTTCAGAATATATTGAAAAATTGCTATGAATAAATATTAAATATATTACTAATACTTCCATAACTAAGTTGTGATCTTTAATATTAACGTTAAGTCTTCAGTTTTAGTGTAGCTTTGTTGTGCATATACATGTATACAGTGTGTATGCCTCTCAGTGTATACATACACCGAAATGTATTGTTGCTCATTGGTATTGTGGGTTTTGTTGATAACAAGTATTTTCGTTGTTGTCGTGCAGTACTACTGGTGCTACCAGGGGTCGCCACACCTCGAGCAGTGCCCCAATGGTCTCTTCTGGAATCAAAACGTTCTGCAGTGTGAGGATCCTTCCCTTGTTGATACTTCCTTCTGCAACCATTGATGTGTCTACAACAACCAGCCACTGATCCTTACCACCACAACCACCACTGATCCTCGCCAGCACAGATCCTCACCTCCACAATCACCATTGATCCTCACCACTACAACCACCAATGATCCTCACCACCACAACTACCACTGATCCTCAGCTCTACAACCACCACTGATCCTCACCTCCACAACCGCCACTGATCCTCAGCACCTCAACCACCACTGATCTTCACCACCGCAACCACCAGTGATCCTCACCTCCACAACCGCCACTGATCCTCAGCACCTCAACCACCACTGATCTTCACCACCGCAACCACCAGTGATCCTCACCTCCACAACCGCCACTGATCCTCAGCACTCAACCACCTGATCTTCACCACCGCAACCACCAGTGATTCTCACCTCCACAACCACCACTGATCCTCAGCACCTCAACCACCACTGATCCTCAGGACCGCCACCATCACAACTATCTCAACCAGCCATTGATCTTCAGTACCGCCCCAACCACCTACAAACACCAGCACCACTACGACCACTTCAACAAAACAGCCACCCAAAACAACCACCAGACAGCCACCAAATCAGCTACAGTCGCCACCACCACCACCACTATCACAAGAACAACTACACACCATCACTCAGTCCCTACAACAACTTTACAACACCTGCCAACTTACGAGCCCTACAACCACTTGCCACCCCCCAACACCAAAACACCCTCCGTCAACCCCCCCAAACAAAGAAGCAACACCCCAACTACAAAACCCCCAAAACCCCCCAACCAACACCATCCTCACAGCAACCACCACCACCACAACTACCAATCATCCCCATAATTACCTTTTCCCCCACCACCATGCTTCACCCCACAAGTACCCCCATCACCACTCCCAAACCCAAAAACCACCACAAAAACCCCCCCCCAAAAGTAGTTGCTTATTATAAAATTTATTCATAGGAAGCGCTAAAGCCGGGGGGGGTCATACAGGTTACATTAAAGGGAAAGGGGGGGGTAGATCCGACCCCTTGGATCAAAGCCAGTCCTCCCACCCCCCCTTTCCCATGGCAGGGTAGGTGGTGTGAGACATGACGGGGTGTGTGAATGAAGGTAGTGTGAGATATGACAGGTGGTGTGTGACATGTAGATGGTGTGAGTGAAAAGTAAACTAGGATCAATTCCCTTACAATCCTAACTTCAAAGTTATTGTAACAAAAATCTATTTTTCAAAATTTGGGCCCTTGTTTCCCATTCTGTAATTATTATTTTATATAAATTTTTATATTAAAATAATATATTATAATATATTTATTTATATATATTAAAAAAAAATAATATAATTTTTTATTATATATGAATTAAGAACATGTGCAACTCTGGGGATTTTATTGGACGTTTGCCTCAGTGGTTTATCAAACAAATTCTAGGACATAACTTTAAAACATAGAACTATGTACAGAAATGAGGGAATCGTCCCCCAAACCCAGGGAAAGGTGCAAAAGGCCCCCCCGATAGGGTGTCTTTGCACCCCTCCTGGTTTAGGGATGTTACCCCCATCTTCTGTACTAGTTTACTGTCTTCAATTATGTCCCGAATTTGTATTTATAAAGCCACTGGTCGAAACGTCTACAAAAAAGATACCCCGTGTTCCATGTGTCTTAATCTATCATATTATATATTTATATATAATATATATTTATATATTATATTTATAAAAATTAAATTATTATTATATATATATATATATAAATATATAATATATGTTATACGTTAATTTTTGGTAGCTGTGTATGGTATATTACACCTAAGCAAGCATTGTTAAAATGGATTAATCCGTGTTAATGTGTTAAATTATTATCTTATATAATTTAAAAAAAAAAGTATAGTTAACAATTCACACAAGGGGTGAGGTTTTCATTGGCTGGCAATACTCACGTCAGATTTTTCTCTTCAATTGGTAGGCCCACACATGTCAGTGGATAAGTCTATTATAATGAATATGCCCCACATATTTAATTTTTTTATAAAAAATATTGTTTGGGAGCGTCATGGGATGAGGGGGCCCCTTTACGGGAAAATTTCCCGTGGTTACGTTTAATAAAAAATTTAAGATTCGGCAGCTTTTATCTTGACACAAAAAAAGTTATCTAAAGGGGAAAAGAAACTTAAAACTCCATGTTCTAACCCCTTATTGCGAAAAATATATAATATATAAATATTATAATATTATATATATATATATATTATATAATATATATTTATATATTTTTAACCCGGAGGGTTTTCGGGGGTCAACGCCCCGGGTTCGTTCGAGACCAGACCTTGGGGGGGATCAGGGTCGATCACCGGGTTTACTGCTGGCGCACCAAGTGAGTACGAACCACAGCCCCGGGGGCAGGAATGATTTTTGGGGCCTGTCCGTGCCTTTTTGAATACAGCCCGGGGGATATTTGGGAAACCCCCCCTTTTGTGGGGGGCAATGAACAGTCTTGGGGCCCCCGGGCACTTCTTATGTTGTCTCTCAGTGACTCGTGGGCCCTGCTTTTCATCGGGGGAATGTTGCATCTCCTGCCGAGTCTTTTGCTTTCATTTGGAGTTCATTTTCATGTGTAGATGAAGAAGGTGAGTACTGGTGTAATGGATGAGTGAGTATTGGTTTAAAGGGTGGAGTACTGGTTTAACAGGATTTAGTACTGGTGGAACAGGGTGAATACTGGTGAATAGGGCCTCGAGGGACTGGTGAACAGGGTGTGAGTTTCTGGTGAACACAGTGAGTACTGGTGAACACGGTGAGAAACTGGTGAACAGGATGAGTACCGGTGAACAGGGTGAGTATGCTGAACAAAGGGGGAGTATTGGTAAAGTTCAGTTCTTGAAAGAAAAGGGAAAGTACTGGTAAGTTCAAAACAGTTGTCAGCCACCCTAATTGACCCATACTTTGTAACCGCGCTGAGAACATTAGTCAGTCAGGCGTCATTACCAAGGTCTTAGTGGTCATTTCATCATTTACTGCACCCGGGAATATCACTAGGGGATAGGATAGGGCCTACCAGGACATAAAATGAGGTTTAACTAGAACTAAGTAAGAACATGGTTAAATGGCCTACACAATTGTGATGGACAGAGATAACAAGTTGCATGGACGTAAATGATGCCTGGGAAAATTCAAAACAATGTTCACTACCATCCTTGATAATATTGCACTAGTTAAAAAGAAGTTAGGATAAAAACGAAGAACTGAAATCCTGGATGACTACTGAGATATTAGATAATATAAATTCAGAGACCAATTGCCTAAAAGATTTAAAACAAATAACAGGAAATTACAGAACTAAATGAATTCCAAAGGTGAGGAACGAGTGCAGAGACTTATAAAAGAGCAAAGGCATAACCCCAGAAAAGCTCTGGCAACAACTAAACAGTGGGTATAGCCCATAAACCAGTAGATAGGTCCAACATAGTACTCACTATCGATAAACGAGGTATTCCACGAAACATCTAAGGTGGCAAATTTTTTAAATCCTACTACACATCTGTTGCATTCAACACTATAATAACCTACCAGCTGCATCAAATACCTTTAACACAGACTCTTATAAGTTTCAAACATACTATACCAATATAGGGTAACCCAAACAGTAGTCAACTAGTACGTGTATCTCATGACTTTTTGCATTAAGAACTAAGCAGGTTAACCCAACTAAGAGCACAGCCCGGACAACACCCCGTCTTATAAGTTTTTCCTAAAAGATGGTGCTTCTGACTGTCAATCCCATTGCCTCACATAACAGATCTATCAATCACCACTAATACGGTACCGATGGTTCAAGGAGCCAGATATCTCTCCTATCTTCAAGAAAAATAGTAGAGGTGGGTCAGGTGTAAGCAACATAGGCCTGTTTAGAATACTCAGTGTAAATATCCAGATTCCTAGAGAGGGTGGTGACTGTCAAGTAGTTAAGAACCTTAATGCCACAACATTCTCCATAGTCTATCAGTCGGGCTTTAGAAATCTTACTCAACCGACACCTCCCTAATTAAATCTATTGGATTACCTGAGAATTGAAATTAAAGGTATGGTAGCCTTAGACTTGCAATTGTCATAGTAATCTAGCCTTAGACCTGCAAAAGCCTTCGAATAAACTGGTCAACCACAATATATTATTAAGAAACTTCAAGCCATCGGATAGGTTCTGTAGACTGGTTTAAGTCCTGCCATAGCAACAGGAGACAAATTGTCAAAAATCAACAAAAGCTGAATCAGAACCCCTGGCCGATAGCATGTGGATTCCCCAAGGAAGTACTCTGGGTCCCTTATTATTCTTATGTTATTTCAATGGACATACCCTATCAGCAGTGTCAAGTGCAAACTCCTACTCTATCAGATGACAGTGCTCTGTAGTGTCAGGAAAGAACCCACAAGAAAAGCTATGTTTTAACACTGAACTGGAGCCCGCCCCAAATGGGTTAAAGACAACAACTATCATTACAACCTCGGGAAAACTGAAGCCATTCTCTTTGGCACGAAAACATTAAACTGAGAAGGGTAAATAATTTAATGTCCAGTGTAATGGGGAGCCCATCACTTTGTTTTCATCATAAAATATCTTGGAATCCCCTTTGACACATGCTTGTCAAGAGAATTGGATAGGAAACAGTGTTAGTAAGAAAGCGAAATGCCAGACTGAAGTTCCCTGGTATAGACAAGCACAGTGTCCCTATGTACTGAGGTTCGCAGACCCTATGTCTACCTCTTATAAAATGCCATATGGATAACGCTTGCTCTTCATGTACTCTCCTTGACAAAAAACTGAAGATAGATGCAAATCACCCAGAAGCAAAATCGTAAGATTCATCTGGACCTTGGACCAAGATTTACAACCTATACAGATGTGACGAGAGTGATCACATATGCAAAAGGGGGGTGCCTGTACATTGCAGAGTCACTTGTTTGCACAGAACTGCAAATGCCTCAAAATGAGAGTGGAATTTTAGCATAAAGGCGAAACCCAAAACCATCATTGTGATAGTCTACAAGCCCCGGTGCAACATCCCACAATTTCCCAGGAACAGCTGTTAAAAATTGACCACTGCTGAAAACCTTCCCCCCTGCCCCCAAATCTTG